TTTACTAGAACATGTTTATTTCCAAGAGTAAAGTACTCTTTAAAATTATGTTCTAGCAAAATTGAGAGTTGTTCCAAGTTGTTCTTTGCCAGTACGTAATTGTTCTATAGTTTGGGACCGCTATCGCGACTTTAGCGAGCAAAAAAGATGAAAAAACAAAAAAAATGTGTTTATTTCCAAGAGTAAAGTACCCTTTAAAATGATGTTCTAGCAAAACTGAGAGTTGTTCCAAGTTGTTCTATGCCAGTATGTAATTGTTCTATAGTTTGGGACCGCTGTCGCGACGTTATCGGTCGAACAACACGAAAAAACAAGAAAAATGTGTTTATTTCCAAGAGTAAAGTACTCTTTAAAATTATGTTCTAGCAAAATTGAGAGTTGTTCCAAGTTGTTCTATGCCAGTACGTAATTGTTCTATAGTTTGGGACCGCTATCGCGACTTTAGCGGGCAAAAAAGATAAAAAAACAAAAAAAATGTGTTTATTTCCAAGAGTAAAGTACCTTTTAAAATGATGTTTTAGCAAAACTGAGAGTTGTTCCAAGTTGTTCTATGCCAGTATGTAATTGTTCTATAGTTTGGGACCGCTGTCGCGACGTTATCGGTCGAAAAACACGAAAAAACAAAAAAAATTTGTTTATTTCCAAGAGTAAAGTACCCTTTAAAATGATGTTCTAGCAAAACTGAGAGTTGTTCCAAGTTGTTCTATGCCAGTACGTAATTGTTCTATAGTTTGGGACCGCTGTCGCGACGTTATCGGTCGAAAAACACGAAAAAACAAGAAAATGTGTTTATTTCCAAGAGTAAAGTACTCTTTAAAATTATGTTCTAGCAAAATTGAGAGTTGTTCCAAGTTGTTCTATGCCAGTACGTAATTGTTCTATAGTTTGGGACCGCTGTCGCGACGTTATCGGTCGAAAAACACGAAAAAACAAGAAAAATGTGTTTATTTCCAAGAGTAAAGTACTCTTTAAAATTATGTTCTAGCAAAATTGAGAGTTGTTCCAAGTTGTTCTATGCCAGTACGTAATTGTTCTATAGTTTGGGACCGCTGTCGCGACGTTATCGGTCGAAAAACACGAAAAAACAAGAAAAATGTGTTTATTTCCAAGAGTAAAGTACTCTTTAAAATTATGTTCTAGCAAAATTGAGAGTTGTTCCAAGTTGTTCTATGCCAGTACGTAATTGTTCTATAGTTTGGGACCGCTATCGCGACTTTAGCGGGCAAAAAAGATGAAAAAACAAAAAAAATGTGTTTATTTCCAAGAGTAAAGTACCCTTTAAAATAATGTTCTAGCAAAAGTGAGAGTTGTTCCAAGTTGTTCTATGCCAGTACGTAATTGTTCTATAGTTTGGGACCGCTGTCACGTCGTTATCGGTCGAAAAACACGAAAAAACAACAAAAATATGTTTATTTCCAAGAGTAAAGTACTCTTTAAAATTATGTTCTAGCAAAATTGAGAGTTGTTCCAGGTTGTTCTGTTTGTTTTTAGCTAAAATATACAGTTTGGTGTTTAAGAGATAATAACTATAGCCGAAAACGTAAAAATACTGTTTTAGCGCACGAAACTATTTTTTTATTATATCTCGTAAAATATTTTGTTTAGGGAATTATCATTTTGGAACAATGTTTAGAACAACTAGAACAATCTGGAACAACCTTTAAAAGTTCGATTTTCGGAAAATGGGGGGCCAGGTCAAAAAATCGTTTTTTTCCATTTTTCGCGAAAATTTTTATTTTTTAAATTTGATCTTTTGGAACAATTTAGAACAAGTCTAGAACAACCTGGAACAACCTTTAAAATTTTAAAATTCGAAAAATGGGGGGCTAACTTCATACAGGCGACTTCTCAACATTTTTGCTGAGGAAAAATCATCATCTTTTCACCTACCCTACAACCCCTTAACGGTTGGCACCGGAGTTCCCGAACACCCTCTATATACCGAGATGGTTTAAATTAATTATGTTATTTTATACAGAATTTAATTAGTGATTTTGTAAATAGCTGAATTTGAATATAAATATATATATATATATATATATATATATATATGTAGAAATAGGCGCATAGTTATGTGTGCGTGTGTTATCTTTCTCGTATTATTATTCACTAAATATCTTCTAAAAGAAAAAAATTGATAAAGTATTGACCATTAATTTTTTTACATAATCGTTACAAATAACATATATTTTTACATATCGTTATAAATAATTAACAAACTTGTATATATAAATAGATATCTATACTTTGACAAGTGCTCAAATGTCTAGATAGTACTTGGATAAAAATATTGGTAATAACATTAGCTATTTTTTCACGTTTCTTTTTATGACAAAAATTGCCATTGTCACGAATATTATTCGAATGTCGCCAATATTGACAACATATGAATATAAGTCGATCATATGTGAAATTCGTATACACGATATCACATGTGTTACACGTCGTGTGCAGCCAGCGTTGAATGAATAAGAAAACGCGAGAGAGATTTCGATTGCAACTCGAAAAAGAGAGGCTTGCCTTTTTTTTCAAATTTTATTTATACCCTTTTTACTTTAACATGTTTCGCCACACATGTATTTCGCGTTGTTTTGTATTTTCACAATCGCCACATCCGCGAAACGATAAATGTCACTCGCCGGTTTTATACGAGCCATTTCAACGTATCGCGCGAAACGCTATTTGCGGAATCGCAAAGAAAATCCAGAAAAATCGTGCTTTCGACCAATCCCGAGAAGAGCTTGAATAAGTAATATCAATGGAAGAAATCACGGCCGTCATAAAATTCCGTGGGAAGCGACACTAAGCTCGCCTTTCTATGGGATTAACTCTCGCGGAATTCTCTCGGCAGGACTCGTTTCCCGAGAAGTTTTGTGCGGCCGATAACGAATTTCCTTGTTTCCTATTCAGACACGGGACATTCAGCAAATAGGGGGAGGAAGCGTGCGCGGCATTAACCCTTTTCAATTGAACGAGAGAAGACGAGTGAAATTGTCGGCTTGTCTGAATTTCTCGAATTTTGAATCGGACTCTCGAATTCGTTTCTATTATTTTTCAGAATCGATATATTTGACGAAAAAATTGAAATGATCTCGATTTTATATATGAAATTGCTCGTCAATTAGAACTGGATCGTTGAAACCATTTATTTTCCGAGAAAAACGCGGGTATAAAAATATATATTTAATCCGCAATCGACAGTGGCTGGGGATAAACGAGATAATAAATAATAAAAATAAACACACGGTTCGCGCGTTCTTTGTTTTCTTCCGGCTCTCTTGATATAATATCGGTCAGTTTGTCTAGAAATGACGAAACCGAAGGCGAGTATTATCCCGAAATAGCTCTTAAATTGATCAAATGAATGATTCCGCAGAGACGACACAATTTTAGTCTACGTCCCTCGAGTCGTCGCGTCGTGACGTGCCGAGTAAATAAAACTGTATAAAATCAGGAAGACAGTCGAAGGCATCCAATCTCGCAGCTCGCGGAACAATAGGCTGCGATAGATTGAAATTTTAATGAAATTTGTCACACACTCTCTCTCTCTTTCTCGAGCTGCTTTCGAGAAAAGCTCAAGATATTTTTGTCCTTAATTAATTAATGTATTTTTAAACGTCATTCAACATTTTTTTATTTTTATTTCGCATGTCTTTGCGGTGTATTCTCGTTCGGGAAATAAAACGAAGGATGAATAAGCACGGTTAAAGGCCGAAAATAAGATGGGGAAACGAGAAAGTCGGTCGCCGACCAACCCTTAATAACGGGCTGCTCGATCAGTTATGAATCATCCAGCCCTTGAAAAGTCACGCAGCAGACAGGTGGATTCCAAAACGGGCGCATATATATATATATATATATATATATATATGTATGTATATGTATATATCTGTATATCGCACGATAAGATGAATTCCAATTATCATCGCTCGATCGCGCGATCGACGTTATTGCGCCGATATCAACAAATTAAGGTATGCGTTCGCACGGCGAGTAAATCGACATCTGCTGCGGGATATCTGGCAATTTGATTGTCATACATTGCATCGGAATATCAATCGCGATCGAATCGCTTACGCAATACGTTAGCTTTAAATTCCCGGGGATACGATATATAAATATGTAATACGTTCGGCATGCATAAGTCAGTACGCGCATAATAAATATTAAAAGGGTATCGATACGAAACGATATGAATTTTAATGTCGGCAGAACCTTCCGCGATGCTTTGCGTTATTCAATGAAATTATTTTTCTCTAGAAAAGATGAAACGTTAACTATAGTTTACGGCACACGAAACGCGCAAATTCAGGGTGTCTAGCGGTCAGGGAAATCTGGAAAATCGGGTATTGTCCGGGAAAAATGTCGGGAAATTTTACTATTTATCTGGATTTTTCACATTATTCTACAATTGTCTCAATAATTGGAAATTTTTTATTAATAAATATAAACTTTTCCTTGGCTTCTCCAGCACGCTAATTTTCTGTGTTGTTCAAAATCGATTCATCTACAGCGTGTTCGTTCATTTATATTTTCATCGTCGTGTTATTTTACTTCAATGTGTTTAACAGAGATAAAACTAAAAAATTGAATATAATATAAATAAAAAAAAGATGATTATTGAAAAAGTTTATAGCGACATGTTTGCTTCGATTATCGTACATAACGCAGATTGTATAATTGATTAAAATTTTTTTTTTAACTTTCGGACCTTTTCATCGATGACAAAAATATCTCAAGGATTTCATGATTTAACACTTAATTGATTTGTCATATGGATATATGCAAATTATATATTTGGAAAAAATAATTCTAAACAGTCAGGGAAAAAATAAATTTCTGGTCTTGGAAAATGTGATAAAAAAGTCAGGGAATTTTTTCATCGAGTCTGCTAGACAGCCTGAAATTGCAGTAGGGAATTATCGTCGGTATTATATATATATATACATATGTAATTATATATATAATTATCGCAAGAGGACACTGATATGTAAACGTACCTTAACATGTGCGGTAGAACATCCGAAAAATGTAAGGGTCGCATGAGCACTATATCTGCGTATATCACCTCACACTATCACTGCGTTGGCATTGCCACGAATGCATCATTGTATTACTATATATATATATATCAGCGAACCGGAATATCATCCATTAGTCGAAACGGGAAAAGAGAAAGAGAGAGAGAAACACGTTTCTAGGCTCAATATTTTTTTTTTCCTCCAACGCACTCTACTGTATAAAAGAACGAGCCGTCGACTATCGTTCAGGACGATTCGTGATACGGGAATTGATACTATACATTTTTACCGACCCTACGATAGACGCACCCTGACATAGGATCTCCTCTCGGGCTCTTCGGGAGAGAAAGATAGAAGATGACAGCCGCGTTTAGCATTCTTCGACATCGACAAATATACACCCGAAATCATCCGCACTGCACACACTCTCTCTCTCTCTCTCACTCCTCGTCTAATCCCGCGAGAAGAGGGGTCTACTATAGCGAATCCTCTGGCGGGCTGCCGCGCAGAGAGCGGAAACACGACGAGAGCCTAATAACGCGGACGAGTAGCCGAGCACGAGCCACCCCCTCCGTGATGCACATGTCGCGATCGCGATACATCTCGCGCCTTTTTTCGTTTTTCGCTCGCGAACGACGGAGCGCTAGGAGATATGACGTGGCCCGATCGAATGGTCCACTTTTCGCATCGCTAAGCCTCCACTCCCGGTGGTCGATATTTATTGCGCCTCGGCCGAGGCTTGCGAGCTTCGAAGAAACCGACTCCGATCGTTCTCGCGTCCCTCGGGCCAACTGTTAATCGGCCTCGAGGAGGAAGCGCTCTCTCTCTCTCTCTCACTCTCTGCTATTCCCTCCGCCGGCTAAATATCGCCTCTTCCTCCCCCTACTCTCCCCGGCTCTCGATCGACCCACGCCGATTTAACGTTCGCCACGAAGGAGGGACGGTCGGAGTACGACGTTCCTGATGGTGTCGTCCGACTCTCGGGAACTCACTTGTCGTCCTCGTCGGTGCGGAGAATATTTCTCTTTCCCGTGAACGAGGAGGAAGAGAGAGAGAGAGAGATGCCTCTTTCACCCCGTTTCTCACCCCTTTAACGCGGCACAATAAACTGAAATGTCACAAACTTGTGTATACTACTCACTCGACGAGTCAGGGCAGTGGAGCTTCATGAATGCGTTCCGCAATATGTATCAGGCCATCGGAACACGGCCGAGCTCGCGGCCCTTCTTCCGCAGCTTCGAGTCTAAAGCCACCCGTCCGCACCGATACGCCGTTAAGGCAGCACCACCAGCAGCAGCAACACCGCCACCAACCACCACCACCACCACCACCAACCACCACCATCATCATCGCCACCGTCGTCCTCGTCTTCGTCGAGCGTATTTTCGCGGGGGTGGGAGGCCCTCGACGAAGAGCCGCGAACGTAAGGGAGAGAGACACGGGATCGTCGAATAGTGGGGAGGATAGCGATCAAAGCGTATGCGCGAGAGAGAATCCGGGGGAGCGACAGGAGGAGCGGAAAGAGTGCGAGAGGGAGAACTGGAGCGAGAAAAGGACCCGATGTGCGCAACCATGGAGGGGAATTCTGGTGGTGGTGCACCGGGTTCCTCCGCCGGTGCCGAGCATGTATATATATGTACATGTATACATACATGTGTGTATATATATATATATATATATACACACACGTATATTCGCGCGGGACTTTATACGAGTATCTCCCTGTATATATGTGTGGTTGCGTCTCTCCTTTTCATTTAGCTAGGAACCACCCTCTCGTGTATTCTGTGTTTCGAAAAAAAAAAGGGAAAAAATTCTTCCCGTCATCGTCGATGATCGGTCGTGAAAGCGCGGACACGTCGTCCTCGGCCGCGCCCTCTCCGCTGGTCGCACCCCGGTCATCCCTGTCCGGAGAGGGTTGCCGATCGCTCGCGGAGATAGCCGAAGGCGAACGAGCACGGCCGGGGTAGGTAGGTAGGCGGCGGGTGACGGCTGAGGTCGTCGCGGACACGGTGCTTCGTTCGAGCAAGGGTGAGTTTCGAGTTCCAGCGTTGCGGGGAGGCACAAGTTTTCGATACGGTTCCTCGGGACCGACCAAACTCCAGCTCTCTATAGTTAGCTATTGTCTTTCCAGTCGTCGGACAGGCCCGGCGGCCAGAAAGAGAACTATATAGTACATATATTGTAGTCGATACTGTCGGTTACAAGATGCACCTCCGAGTCGCGAACTTTGCCCGAAGCGCAGATAATGGAAAGCGAATCGCAAGTAGATCGACGTCGATGTCGTATAGCACCGACGTCTATATAGTTATATAATATATAGGTATATACTCATGTGCGAATCTCAAAAAGGCTCGGTACTGGCTCAATACTGGTGCCAGAGTCGCTAGTACTGAGGCTGACGTTCTGGGCCAGTATAAGTTGAGATCGGGGTCATTACTGGGACAATGTCGGAATGATAATACAGGTCCCAGTTTCGGCGTTAACGCAGAGTATTAGTACAGAGGCAACGTTGATTGCCAATGTTGGGCGAACTTTGGCTCGACACAAAGTATTAGTACTGGGACAACATTCATTATCAGTATTGGGGCATATTTATTAGTTTGTATTGAGCCAAATCTAATATTAGATTAATCGATGTTTAAAATCATTATAAATTAATGTTTCAAAATAAAAATATTTGTTGTCATACACCAACGTATGGCCCAATGTATCCCCCAGTGCTGATCCAATATATACGATTTTTATCCAACGTAACTTTTATCATCTCGGTACTATTTCACGTCTCGCTCCCAGTGCACGCCCAGTACTGATACGATATTTGGCTCGGTATAGAAAATATTTTGTATCAGTACGGTACACAAACATTGGCCCAATTTTCTTCCAGTATACTTGAACCGGTACTCGTGCTGCAGACAAAGTTGCTTGCTTCCCAGTAATCCGACACGAGTCGACTCAATACATGCCCAGTACTGAGACGATTCTCGGCCATCGATTAATACCATTTTCGGCCTTATACGCGATCAGTACTGAGACGAGACTCGGCTCGATTGCATGGGAGTATTGGTACAGTACCAATTACTACCGAGACTGGTACAGTATTGATCTGGTGGTTTATTCGTATTGGGGCAGTACCACCTATCAAGTCTTGGCAGCCAATATTGTGCCATGTTGACAACTCTGGCAGAAGCCCGACATTCGCACATGGTACGAATATATATATATATATATATATATATGTACGCGCCCTACGCAGTTCGCGAGTCTCTTTCTCGTTCTCTATACGTCTAATTTAATTGAATATTCCAGTCGTATCAGCGAACTGTGTTGGGAACCCGAGAGCGAACGCAGTTGCCCTCGGCGAATACATAAGCGCTATATATGTCCTCTCTTCCGCGTCTTTTCCCTCTCACCCGACACCAATTTCACCGAGTCGTCTTTTCATTCCTCCCTTCTCTTTACCCCTTTTCATCTTGCCCCCTCGTCGTCCGGATCGCGAACAGCGTATGTTTAATTCATGCGCCGGGTGTTATGCACGCGAGCCCAAGAGAGAAAGAGAAGAGCTTCCCGCGTTTTCCCGTCATCTTGTTCCTCGTGTTTTGATTTCCCGGCATGATCAAGCTCGGCCGCCTCTCGATACCCATGTGGAAATTGTGTTAAGACTTTGATAAGGCCCCCAATTTTTCCTAACTTTGTTAAGATCCTAATGTGGAAGCCCAATAAGAACCTTTTAAGGTCGGTCACGCTTTTCCATTGAGGACCCGTAAGGGTTAAGCAATCACGGTGATTGATAGTTGCCTTATGAAATCCCTTATATTACCTTAAGATGGCCCTATAATTTCCAGGCATGTATCCGAGATTTTTTGGGGATGTGTGTATATGTGCGTAAAATTAATACAAAATAAATGTAATTTAATTAATTTATCAATCTATATTGAAGAACACATTGCGAGATTCTGATAATATATCTTTTCAGTTACAATTTAGTTTTCTGGGCTGAATCTTTCCGAAGATATATCTAAAGAAATATATATATATCTATCTATCTGATACATATATATCATCAAATATCAGATATATATATATATATGTCTATGCTATATAGCGATAAGGGTCCTAATAAGACTTGACAAAGGTATTAAAATAAATTTCGACATACATTAAATTAGCTACTCAAAACTGACATCACCTAGGACCTAATCTGAAAGTAACGTGAAAATTCCCCGACATTTTTTAAGGCTGCCCTAACAATTTTCCTCATGGGTCACCGTCTTTATGTACCTTCTCTCGACAGTTTCCATATTTTCTCCACCGGGGGAGAGTTTGAAATGACCGTTTGCTCGTCTCTGTGAGAAGAAAATCCTCTTTTTTCTGCTCCTCTCGTTCGTAGAAAGAACTCGGGGGCTCCGAAATTTTCAGTCGGACATTTCCGAGAACGACGCGCGCGTTTGTCCGCAATTTAGGGAACGCACACGGACGGCGGGAATGTTCTTTGATGTCGAGATATTTCCTAGCGGCTCTCGGTTTCTCTCCCTGGATCGCGTGACCGACTCGGAACGGAAATGCTTGCGTGCTGCCGAATCGCGTATAGGTATGTATATATACGCGAACCGGAATATGCATATAATTATACGGCATTTGCGGATTATTTACAAGCACGCCAGCGGTGATGGTTACGCTTGTATTCGCAATCCTCTTTGCAGCGTTCGTCGTGGCTGGAAACCACGACAAAGTTTTCGGCACTCCTCTCTCTCTCGCGTTGTTTGTTTGAGTGTGTTTTAATTGTGTGTCGGGGTCGGTCGTTATAAAATATATCTGTAACAAGAAAATGTGTTCCTCCTCGCGCTATTAATCGCCGCTTTATTAATGGCCTCGGCATTTTCACGAAACTTTCGAGTTTCGGCTTTCCCAACTTCGTAACGGTGCATATAATGCATAATTTAAACGATGAGATAACTTTATGCATAATCGTCTATGCATTCGGTAGGGCAAGTATATATGAAGATTAAGTTTTCAAGTAAGTCTTGACTGTGTTTCAAAGTATATATATATATATATATATATATACGTGGGTGTTTGCATGGGGAGGCATATTTGCTCCTTTTGGAATTGGTAAAAAAAATAAGCACTTGTTCTCTTTTTGAATAAACGCTATATTTTTTTAAGGAATTTATTTATATTTTTAATGTAAAAGGATTAAAATATACCAAAAATTTTTTAAATTAATTAAATAAGCACTTGTTCTCTTTTTGAATGAACGCTATATTTTTTTAAGAAATTTATTTTTAATTTAAAAAAATTAAAATATAAAAGAAAATTACGCCCTGTCCTGGAAAAACTCTGGCGGATGCGCCCGCGTGTATATAAACATTATAAACTCACTGTATTATCAATTTCAACGATTAGGGCTGTTGCTAGCAACGATGTGGAATGACTTTTTAGCACGGCGGAAGAGAGAACGAACTGGGAGAATACCGGATGTGCACAGGGAGAACAAGAGTACGAGAACTAGAGGACTCGTATCGCGAAATAATTTACGACGCATACATATAGTAGCTCAGATAACACATGCAATTGAATATTATCGATAGCGATGTTGCTTTATGGAATCCCGTTATTGTATCGAACGCTCTATTGTATTGTATATTAAAGCGTCGAATCGAAATTCTGCACCGAGACGAAATTGGCTTATTAGAAAAACGCGCGATACCTCGTTTAAGACTCGAGGAAGTCCCGAACATGTGCCGTTCTTTCTCGTTGGAGAACTTCGCAATAAGCAGTCTATTCGTGGCGACTGACGAGATTCTTGCGCGGCTTCGCGAGTGATAATTTAGATCTTAATTAATGAATCCTTGCACGGTCCCTAGGAGCGATCGATCGTGATCTCTTGATAATCGCTGAGAATTAATTTTCCACCGGCTTGGGCTTCGCTTGCAAGAAGAGTTGATCGATAACACGAGACCCGTATGAGAAATTCAGATTAACTTTGTGTAATTTAGCATAACTATTTACTGTCCCAATCTCTCTCTCTCTCTCTCTCTCTCCAGCTTTTAATTTAGCCATAAATATATTGCAGAGAAAGTACAACCAAGTATTACTTATCGAAAATAATTTAATCTCCGGCCTCTAAT